ATCAATGACATGAGACAAAGTATATGTGAATTGCTGTATGAAAAGTGAATTTACTCTGTAAATCTTCACCCAAATCCTAATAAAAAAAAAAAGAATTGATGCCTCTGAACTGTGTGGTGTTGGCGAACAACACTGAATGTATCATGGACTACCAGAAGAACAAACAAATCTGTCTCAGAAGTATAGTCAGAATGCTCCTAAGTAACAAGGATGGCAAGAGAGAAGTTCTCACATACTTTGGACATGTTACTAGAAGGAACCAGTTCCTGGAAGACATCATAGTAGGAAAAGGAGAGGGTCAACGGAAAAGAAGAAGACACTAAACAAGACAGATTGACACAATGGTTACAATAATGTACTCAGGTATAACAAAGATGGTGAGGACGGTGGCATAGGACTACGCAATGTTTCATTCTGTTTTATGTTGTGTCAATATGAGTCAGAACTGACTTCATGGTACTTAACAACTAACAATCCGTACAGAATCAGATTGCCAGGTATTTTCTCCTACAGAGTAGGTGGTGGGTTTAAACCACCAACCTTTTGATTAGCACTCAAGTGCTTATTAACCATTGTGCCACCAGGGCTCTTTCCATAAAGGGCTCTACCCAAAAACCCACTGCCATTGAGCTGATTGTAACTCACAGTGACCCTACAGGACAGAGTCGAACTGCCCCATAAGATTTCTAAGGGTATAAAACTTTAAAGATACAGACATCTTTCTCCTGCAAAGAAGCTCATGAGTTCAAACCATCAACTATTTTGTTGATTATTTTCTTAGTAGCCAAGTGCTTTAACCATTGTACCACCAAGGCTATGCTCTGTAAAGATTACAGCCAAGTCTATAAAGATTACAGCCAAAAAAATCCTGTGAAGTAGTTCTATTCTACAGCACAAAGGGTCACCATGAGTCAGAATCAACTTGACAGCAAATACTTGAGCCTGGATATAGAGGCAGTCCCTGGGTGGTTATAAATGAGATCTGTTACTAAGTGTGTATTTATGTTTAAGAATTTGTAGGTAAATGAGATGAAATGCATGCAGTACTTACCAATTTGAAAGCAATGGGTTTGTTTTTTAGCGCAAGAAAAGGCCTGAAGTTTTTTCAATGATTTAAAAACTGCATAGGCAGCAAGTGAAGGTGATTGTGATCAACAATTTATTGTGAATGGGGTGATTCAAAGAGCTCTGTTGGTGAGAGTTCCGGCAAGATGGTGGACTAGGCAGAAAGACCCTCTTCAAAAAAGAAAAGGGAAACCAATCAACACAGACACAGAACATACTCTTGGACTCCTGAGCCTTGAAGGAAAGGATATAGAATTGGACTAAACAACAACTAGAAGAAGAATTTCCGTGAAGATACCAAAAAGGAGATATACAGAACTGCGGTATGGCAGTGATCCTGAGCAATCCTGATGGCACAGACAGCTTGGAGATTCCCGAGTGGTGGAAAGACCTAAGAATTAACCTAAAAATCACCCTGCTAGCCAGACACTGCACGAAGGACTGTGCACGGTGGCTGGGGAACAAACAGAGAAGGTGAAGAGAAAGGTGGGCTGAACTGTGGACTTTTGCCGGTCCAGAGG